CAAGAGCCTCCACCACAACAAGTGAAATGATGGCAAATCTAGATAGCGTACTAAAAAGCAGAGACACCACCTTGCCAACAAGGATCCCTATAGTCAAAGTTATGGTTTTTCCAGTAGCAACGTATGGCTGTAAGAGTTGGACTATAAGGAAAGCTGAGGGCTGCAGAACTGACACGTTCAAATTGTAGTCCTGGAGTAGTCTTTTGACAGTTCCTTAGACAGCAAGGAGATCAAATCAGTCAATACTTGAATAAATTAATTCAAGCCATTCACTATAAGGTTGGATACTGAAGCATAAATACTTTGGCCAGATAATGAGAAGATGGGACCCATTGAAAAAGATCCTGATGTTGGGAAAGATGCATAAGGAGAAGGGGATGGCAGAGGATGAAATGGATAGATAGTGTCATGGAAACAACAAACATGAGCTAAGTCAGACTTTGAGAGTTAGTGAAGGAGGACAGAAGGCCTGGTATGCTATGGTCCCTAGGATCATGAAGAATCAGATATGACTGAACAACTGAAAAACAAATGATCTATCCTCCCTCTACTCCCTCTAAATCTTCCTCCCCTTTTCTTCCCTTTCCCTCTTATTTCCCTGTTGAGTGAACGGTATTTTTGTGCCCAACTCTGTGTGTGTGTGTGTGTGTGTGTGTGTGTGCTTCCTTTTTTTGACCAGTTCAAAGGAAAATGAGGCTTTATTTGATCTGGAAGCTCTGGAATTTGGTTATGATGTAACTGTGAATTTTCATTTTGGGGTTTCTCTTAGGAGGTGACCTATGGATTCTTCCTATTTCCACTTTGCCCTCTGGTTCTAAAAATTCTGGCCAGTTTTCTTTGGAGAGTTCTTGAAATAGTATGTCTAGGCTTTTGTTGTTATTTTTGTTGCTGTTGTTATGGTATTCAGACATGATTCTCAAAATTTTTCTCTTCAATCTATTTTCCAAGTCAGTTGTTTTTAATATGAGATACCTAATATTTTCTTCTATAATTTCAATCTTTTGACTTCATTTTAATATTTCTTGTTGCTTCATGAAGTCATTGGCTTCTATTTGGTCCACTCTAATTTCCAAGGAGTTTGTTACTTGGGCAAAGCTTTATATCTCTTATGCTAAGCTTTTAATTTCCTTTCCAATTCTTCCTTCCATAGCTCTCATTTCTTTTCCATTTTTTCCTTCAAATACTGTCATTCCATTTATAAAAAAAATTTAAACTCTTTTAAAAACTTTGCTTTATCTCTTTTAGGAATTCTGTCTGATTCCTTTGCCCAAACTGTGTTTTTTCTCTTGAGGTTTTGATTACAGATATTCTAGAATCATTCTCTTTTTCTAGGTTTGTATCTTGAACTTTCCTGCCACCATAATAGCTCTTTATCATGGGATTCTTTTTATTTGTTTGTTTGCTTATTAATCCAGCCTGCTTTCTGACTTTGGATATGATCTTTAGTCTGAGCTCTCTCAACTCAGGAGGGGAAGGTCTGAGCTGGTCCTGTTGCTGCTTTCTTGGGATATTAAGTGTTGTGTTATTTCAGAATCTTGGGGAAAGGCTGGAAATCTGTATGCTTTCAGTACTTCCAAAGTGGTCTGATCCAGGACTGATTGCTAATCCCTGTGGCTCAGAAAAGCTCTATTGGTTCAGAGAAGCAGAATTACAGGCTTTCCTTTGGTCTGGGACTGTTGCCCTACTGATTCCTCTGCAGGCTGGGCTAGATACTGAAACTGAGACTGTGTTCTGCTTCTGGGGTCTGACTTACACAGCTGTTGTTGGTTTCTGAGCTTGGAACTGGGTAGTGAGCAACAAAGGTGTCAGTTCACACCTGTCTCCTTTGAAGCCTCACTCTCTTCCAGTCATCCAAGTCCAGTGGCAAGACAAAACATAAGACTGGTGATGGCCCAGGATGCAGTAGGTGACCTTGGCCTTTTTAAAGTAGGTCTTTCTGAGGTCTCAGTTTGTCTAAGGGAAAGACCCTTAGAGTTTTTGGCCAGAAAAGAAAACAATTGCTATTTACACTCATTTTAAGACATCAAAACCTAAATAATGTGCCACTAAGGTTTGGGTTGAGGGCTTTTATTGGTTATTCAATGAGACCCAGAGTGATTTGGTTTTAAAGACTAGTTAAGTAGCTCCATTTGAAACACAATGGAATAGGCTTTTTTAATGCCTGTTTTTTCACAGCTATACTTCAAATAATAAATGAAAAACTGCAAAGAGTAAATTGTCCCAGCTTTCTGAAGAGAAAAAAATAACAATAAAAATAAATACATTTTTAAAAATTAAAAAATACTTTTCTTCAAATCTAGGCCCCAAACCCCAAAATGTTTTATAAAATATAAGTAACCAAAAATTATATTCTTATGGACAGAGCACCCACATGTAAGGAAGTGGACCACATTTGGCAAAGGGGGAAGAAGAAGGAAGAAGAGGAGGAAGAAGAGAAAAAGTAGCAGTATTCCTCAACTTCTGTTCATTGGCAGGTTGGGTCCCCAGAAGGCAGCTACTACTACACTCAGATAACATGGTAAAGCAGTTAATATAAAATGTTCTCCTGAAACTTGGTTCCCTCCTTTCCACAAATACACACAGCATCCACAGTGAGGTACACATGTAAGAAATATATGTGACAAAGGGTTAACAACACCTACTCTGGAAGTCCTTCTCTCTGTGTAGAGACCTCATGCAGAATCCCTTGCTGTTGTTCATTGTTCATTCTAACAGAAGACCAATGACACCACAAGGGCAATGGCTTGACTTTTGGGTGAATTGGATTTAAGTGAGGCAAAGCTGCACAAAATCATCAGTCTCACTTTCTCTTCCAGGATCATCGAAGTCCAGTGGCAACACGAAAATCAAGACAACTGGCAATGGCAGACGCCAGGACACAGTGGGTGACCATGGCATCTTCTGTGTCTGACCAAGCTCTAAGCAATCTACGCTCCTGAGGAGCAACTTTGGTCTGAGGAAAGTGTTTTGTAAACCTTACTGAAGTTGAATTATTCTTGGAAACTAGAGAGAAGAGAAAAACAATTTGTAAGGTGCCAAGAGATGGATATAATGTTTGAGATTTAGAGTTGGATTGAATCTTTGATATTGAGCCAAATTCCCAAATTTTTACAGAGAAAGGAACCTGAAGCCCCAAGAATTTAAGTGACAGTGCAGTGAGGCAGAATTTGAATTCTCATCCTCATACTCCAAATCTGGCATCCTTTCTTCCTGCTACGCTGCTTCTCAAATTAGATTTCCTTTCATTTTAAGGATGGGGCTATACCGCTGGTAGATCAGGCAGCAGCAACATGGTGGACAGGAGAGCAGTGCACACAGAAAGACAGAAATAGTGTTGCTGTTGACTGTGGGCCCTTTCTGATCTTCTTTCCTCAGATATAGTAGTGGTAGTAAATACTACGGGCACAGGTCCAAGTTGCTGGTAGGAGCATTCTGAGAAGTAGACCTGGGATGCCAATAACATTAGATGGCTGTGCAGAACAAAGAGGAGGCCTGGGTAACACTATTGATCAGCCAGTCACAAAATGTGGCAGCTGTCATGGGGGAAGTAAACATGCTTTCTGATAGCCACAAGGAGCAAAGAAGCTAAAATTGACCATGTTTGGAGACTTAGGGCTCCTAGTGCAAAGGCAGCACCAGCACCAGTAAGGGAAGCAAGTGGACTCCTGACAGAAAAGAGTAGACTAATGTCAGGGGGATGTTGTCCTTTGACTGACCTTGAGTTGGTGGTGATCTTCAGGGAGAGGGAAGGTCACCAAAAGGAAGCTATTTCTGTGGCCTTTTCCAGCTTATTTCTATCTTTAAGAAAAGTGTTCTTTGCTCAATGTTTTTTGTCAGCCATAGGTCAAATGAAAAGTAAGAAAAATAAGTTAAATAATCCCCAACTTCTGGCTCTAACATTCCGAATGATCAAGTCCAAGGAGCTACCTACTGCTGTCTGTTTAATGGAGGTTATTACAGCCAGCTAAGTAATACCAAGTTGATTGAAAGTTCAGGGAAGATGTGAGATAAATGAAAAGGAAAGGGTCAAGGAGAGAGGAGGGAGTAGGTAGAGACTAGGGTTGCCAAATGGCTGGAATTTGACCAAAGAAATCAGTTGTCTTGTACTTATGGTGGTATGATGGCTTTTTTGGGTTTTGATTAAAAAACAAACAAAAACTCTAGTAGAAGCATGAATAGTCACTCAGTTTTATGTCCCCCTCCTTCAAGCCCCCAGTTCCCGATGTGAATATTCTTTAACTCTTCATACTGTCAAGTAAAAGGATATTCTATGTTATGTGAAAAATGTTATCAGTGAAAGAACTGGGGCAAAGAAAAAAAATAATAGAAATGGGGTTTGAGGGTGGGACTATCATAGCAAGGTAGGTCTACTTGTTCGTTTCTATTTTCTAATGGTTTCTGTATTATTACTTGCAGACAGACCTCAGAGTATAATACTGACAGCTCTTTCCCTAGAGTCAGGAGACCTGGTTATACTATTGGTACAACCTTGAGGAAATCCTTTCATTTTTCTGGGCCATATCCTCATCTGTATCATGAAAAAGCTGTACTAGATTCAAATTAATGTTTCCTCTGACCTCAAAAATTCTGTGATTGTGGATCACTTGACCTCTAAGTTGTGAAATGGTTAGAATCATAGGCTGCTAGAGCCGGAAGGCATGCTTAGAAGTCTTCTAGTCCAATCTCCTTATTTATAAGTGAAAATTTCTAATTTTCATAAAAAATGTAAAGAACAAACACAGGTGATAAGGAGCAGGGACCAAAATTTTAAACCAGATCTTCTGACTCCAAGTCTATACCACAGCAAGCACTCTTAAAATCCACAGTCCCACTCACCCCTCAAAAAGCTCAACACAGAAACCTGGCATCAAAACAGTTCTCAAAAATGAGATATAATAAAGCATTCTAAAAATATTTTAAAATTCAGTGTGATTTTAACATTAAAAAAATTTATTATAGCTTCAAAACAATACTTGATTTGATTCCATAAAGAAAATACATTTTTATGTTTCCTTTATGGCAAATAGAAAAAATAGAATGTCAATGTTAATTTACGATGTATACAATGAAAAAATGTATAAATAACATTTCAACTCTAATATCCTGATTTTAACATTTAAAATCTTAGGTAAGACCTTGTGTTTATTTTGTGCAAGCAAATTAACAGATACATCTTATCAATTTACAACATTATATTTACACTGTAAAAATATAGAACTTTTTTCCTTTTAAAACCAAGTTTGGCAACTTCAATATTTAGAGTTCTCAGGTATTTCATATGTCTTCTTCAGGCTTTTTCCTATTATTAAATATTAACTCTTTGCAGATGGGCATCCAGACCTTATTTCCTATTCCTTATAGGAAGGATATCTGTAATCCAGTAATGAAAAAGAGTTGCAATTTCTTTTGCATGGTCTGAAAAGAAAAAAAAACAACTATGAATTATAAATTATAATTCTGGTGTTTTGTTATATACGAACCCTTGAAAACCAAATAAATTGTGAAGAATCTACCATAATGTAAACCCGACATTTAGGAATAGCAAGAAATTTGTCGTAGTAGCATCTCATTTAACTTACACATAAATGTAGCAAAAGTGACTTAGAGATGTGAAAATTCTGACAATGTGTTTGTTACTTTAGCTCTGACCCTTGTAGATTTCGAGTTCTCCTAGAAAAGAACCTTGGAAACTACAGTAAGCCAAATATTCAATTTATCCCTATATAGATGTTCATTATGACCTCAACATTTTTCCCCAGATGGTCAACTCTTCAGTGTTGAGCCTCTCTGAATTTTGCTAGACTGGGCTTCAAAATAAAGACATTGGGATATAGTTGGCCAATAATCAAAGCCTTTCTAACTTAATGGAAGTCTTTGGAAGTCAGGCTTGCTTGGCAATAGCCTTTTTTTTTTTTTTTTAAGGGAAGGCAGCAAGCATTTATTAAGCACTACTATGTGCCAAGCACCGTGCTACATGCAGAGGATACAAATACATACAGAAACAGTTCCTGTCCTTAAGGGAACTATGTTAACTTGTTCATCTTTCCTTAAGGAGTTTTTATTGATTTTTTTTCTTACTTCACCATAAAATATCTGTCCCTTTCTCCTTCCCAGAAAGATATCCTATATGAAAAAAAATTATTTTTTTAGTGGGAAAAAAAAATCAGCAGAATTTCCACATCACGACTTTCCCCATCATGGTTTTGATGTAGCATGGGTCAGCATAAGAAATTAAGTGGAATTTTTTGGGGAATTTTTTGGAAGCTGCAGATGACACGTGAAGGTCAGCAGACAACACAGAGCCTATGACCAAATACTTAACCCAAATTTTGCAATAAGGTACTGTAAACACCTCATCAAAGAAAAAGAAAAAAAATTCAGATTTCTTCTCCAGTCTGAAGGGAGGCCCCAAAACTTTTACGCAGATTTTCTAGATAATGGGGGTGACATGCCTCTAACTTCCATGATGTGGAAGGGATAACTGTATTGAAAAAGTATGAAAACATGTCATATGTAATGCCTGTGGACCTCCCAACCTCCATGAAAGGTGAGTTGGGAGTATCTTCTCATATCTCTTCATTTGAGTCCCATTTGATCTTTATAATTTACTGTGTATATTTTTTTCTTGGCTCTGCTTACTTGACTCTGCACCAAGTAATATAGATCTTTCCATGCTTCTCTGTATTCATTATATATATAATCTTTTATAGCACAGTAATATTCCATTATATTAATGTACCACAATTTGTTTAGCCATTCTCCAATTGATGGGCAGCTAGGTGGTGCAATGCTGGGCCTAGAATAAGGAAGATTCATCTTTGTGAGATCAAATCTAGTCAATAGCTATGTGACCATGAGCAAGTTATTTAACTGTTTGCCTCAGTTTCTTCATCTGTAAAGTGAATTGGAGAAGGAAAGCAAACCATGCCAGTATCTTTGCCAAGAAAACCCTAAATGGGGTCACAAAGAGTTGGGCACAACTGAAAAATAACTGAACAAACAACAATTGATGGGCTTCTATTTTGTTTCTAATTCTTAGCTATCACAATAAGTGCTACTTTGTTTCTAATTCTTAGCTATCACAATAAGTGCTACTATAAATATTATGGAGCATATGGGGAATTTCTTCTTATTGATATCAGGCTTCCTTGGGATATAAGCCCAGTAATGGGATCTCTGGCTCAGAGGGTATAGACACTTTTGTCAATTTATTTGCATAATTCTAAATTGCTTTTCAAAAAAGATCATACCATTTCACAGATCCACCAGCAATGTATTAGTGTTTCTCTCCTTCCACACCCCCTCCAACATTGACTGTTGCCATTTTTTGTTATTTTTTTCCAATTTGCAGGGTGTGAGGTAAAATATCAGGGTTGTTTTTATTTGCATTTCTCTAATTATTGCTGATTTGAGGCATTGTTATTTTTAAAAAAAAACACATACTTAATTCATGAATGCTTTCCTTCTATTTTGTTAATATGACTAAAGAACTGGCCCTGGTAGTAGGAAGACCTGAGTTCAAGTCCCTTCTCTATGACATATACTGGTTGTATAATACTGGGTAAGTCATTTAACCTTTCAATGCTCTAGGAGTTTCTCTGACTATGAGTTGCAGAGATGGTGCGGACCTGCACTGGTAAAAGGGGTTTCCTCATATGGGAGTTTCTTATATCAAGATATCACAAGTTTGGTTCCACTATTCCTTATTAAAAAGGTTTTAAAAATAATTATTATTTCTATTATTCTTTGACCCACTTAGTATTTAGGATAGTGTTACTTAGTTTCTGTTTAGGTTTGTTTCTTTTGCATCTATCCTTTTTATTGATTGTTATTTTTACTGCAGTATGCTCTGTAATGGATATGTTTATTATTTCTGCCTTTTCACATTTATTTATGATGTCTTTGTGCTCTGGTACTTGATCATTTTTTGGGAATGATCCCTATGATGCTCATAAATACGTATATTCTATAATATTCTCATTTAGAAATTGCCAAAGGTCTTTCAATTCTAATTTTTCCAATACTTTTTGGATCTATATGTTAACTTGTTCATCTTTCTCTTAGATTTACCTACACAGTCAGAAGAATATTCAAGCATCATATAATCATTATTTTGTTACTTTTTGCAATTTGTCGAGTGTTTTCTTTAGGAACTTGGATGCTATGTTATTTAAAAATGCCTAGATATGTGTATACACATACCTATCTATATCTAATAATAGTATTTTGCCTTCTTTGGCACTTTTATTCATAATATAGTTTTCCTGTTTACCTCTCTCTTGACACATTCAATTTTATCTTTGCTTTAACTGAAATCATGATCACAGTTCCTACATTTTGGGGGCAATGAACTAAAACATAATACATTTTATTCCAGCTCCCAATTTTCAATCTGTAGGGGCTGACCTTAGAGTCAGGACATCTTTGGTTCAAATCCCATCCCTGACATATACTGACTGCCATTGTGACGCTGGGCACGTCATTTAAATTTTTAATCCCAGAGGAAACTCTATAAAACTATCATCAGTTGTTGATTTGGAGCAGCAGAAGGTTTTTCATTACTGGGAACTCACTTTTCTGATGAAATCACATACCTGGATCCTTCCAAAAAGGATCTATATCTTTTATTTTATTAACCGGTAAAATATATTTCATTGATGGCTTTTATCCTTATATCACAATCATAAAAAAAAACTATCTTTACTCCAGATTGAATCTTCCCTTATGTCAAAGAAAATGAACTAAATACAAATATGTGATACATGACTATATCTGACCATGTAAACACTATTCTTTCCCAATATGCCCCTGTATCTCAGGAAGGAGGTATGTTTCATTATCTGTACCTTCATTAGTTTAAAAATTACTCAGAGTCCAGCTTCAGTGATCTTTTTCATTTACTCTGGCATAGTCCTTGTATATATGATTGGTTCTAATAATTTCAATCTATACCAGTTCTTAAAAAATGCTAGATTCCCTGAATTTTATATACTTATAATTTCTTACTGAATATTGATATCCCATTATAATGATATATCATAGTTTTTGTTTTTTCTTAGCCATTCCTGAACTGATGGGCATACCCTTTGTTTCCAATTCTTTGCAATCACAAAGTATGCAGCTATGAATATTTAAATATGCTTTACAATTTGTGATAAGTATTTTGCAATAAGTAATTCAGTACTCCTTATAATTTGCAACAAGCATTCTGGATGCAGCAGATTGTGCTGACCTTCTTATTCAGTCTTCTATTTTCTTTCATTTTACTGATGAGTTTAATCCATTTATATTTAGAGTTATTATTATGTTTATGTTTTGTTCAATTTATTTTTATTATTTTTCCTCCTAATTTAAATCTGCGCTTAGTTCTTGAAGTTTATTTTGATTACACTAGTCTGATCCATTTCCTCCTACAGCCTCTTTCATATTCCCTTCCATTTTCCCAATCTTATTCCTTGAGTTTATTATTCTCTCTCACTCCTTTGCTAGTCCTTTTCTGAAACTATAAAAAGAGTATAGTACAGAAGACTACTTCTCCCACCTCCTTCCCCCCTCTAATTTGAATAACATTTCATTTGGAGTGCCTCTTTCAAAAAAAAAATCCCTTTCCTTACTACTTTCTCCTTCTGTTACACTCCAGTACCTATTATCTCATTCTGGGACTTTATCTTTTTACACATTCCTTCTATTTTGTGTCCATAATTCAAGGTGGAGCTCCTGGAAAACAAAGACAACATTTCTACCTCAATCCAGCTTATCTGTCAGTTAGGGAATAACCATTCTCTCCTTAGGGAGGGAATATGCATTTATACAGCATTTATATGCATTTATATGTGCTAGGCACTGTGTGAAGTGTTTTAAAAATGTTATTTCATTTGATCCTCACAATAACCCTATGAAGTAGAAGCTGTTATTATCCTCATCTTACAGCTGAGGAAAGTGAGGCAAAGAGAAGTTAGATGACTTGCCCAAGGCCATACAGCTAGCAAATGTTTAAGTCACATTTGAACTCAGATCTTTCTGACTCCATGGTCTATCCAACTGTGCCTCTAGACTGCCTCAACAACTTAAATTATTGACAACTTAACTACTTCGAGAAATCTAGTTTCTATCCTTAATTAATCCTTTAATTCTTTTATTGTTCTTCTGACCCATTCTGGAGGTTTTTGTAGTTGTTCCAATGTCATGTGCTAGGGCTCTGTAGAGTTAATAATTATCCTTTCCTTTTCTTCAGGGCTTTCTTTACCTCGGAATATGTTCCTTGCATTGGAATATTTATACATTTGTTTGATAATTTTTTCCCTTTTTTATTAGTCTCTGTTTGCTTGTCTGCAATGTACATCCCATCATGAGTTCTTTCCTTTCCCCTCCATGCCTTTTGTTATTTATTCCTTTACTCTAAATGGCATGTTACCTGCCCCCATATAATGAGGAGACTTAGTTATTACCTTCTCAACCCAGCAACTTTGCTAGAAGTCATCTTCCTTTACTTCTTATATTTTCTTTTCTTTAGTTTGCTGCCTTTAAAGTTATTTTGGGCTTGCTGAGTGGGGGTGGGGGAAGGTTCATATCCTAAATCTCATTTGTCCTTTCATCCAAAAGCCACTTTTTTGGGGGTTCTAGATAACATGGTGATCTGCCCTACACTACTGATCCCCTCTCTACTCTGGTAGCTTGCTCTCTCTAAATTACTGGGACAGGTCTCCAGGACAAAGGTGATGTCAGAAGATAGGGAAGTAGTTTAGCTGAATCACTGCTAAGGGGAAGGCAATGAAAGACTGCAAGTGACAGACTATCTGATACCATTCAGCCACGCGGCACTACATGTGGAATTTAGAACATGGGCCCAGTGTGTGGAGGTAGTAAGAAGGTAATGATGGGCACAGTATGTGTGCCCTTTTTCTAGAGGATTTACCTTGAGGGGAATTATATCTTCTTTCCTTTTACTGTTGTTGTTTTCATTGTTTTATTTGGCACATTTCTTAGTGTGTTGAGGAGGCCATAACGGGAGATAGAGATACTATATTTCAGCCATCTTCCTGGCAGTCTTACTTGAAACCTTTAGCCAGGCATGATCTATCAGAGTTTATGCTTTGTTAGAAGAGATCTTAGGGTTACCTCTATCATAAGATGAGTGGGACAGGACTTTAATAGGAGATGTTTATTTCATTTATTTTCTTAACATTTGCATTACAAAAGGATTTACATGAAGACTCCTTTAAGTATTAAGTTTCCATATATATTAAAAGAAGAGCAACAAAAAACACTGATTTGCACACACATCATCAGGTACATAGCCTTCATTAAAGTTCTCTAATACCTCATTGTGCTACAGAGGCAACCCTAGGGTCCTAAATCATAATACACCATAAGCTCAGGCAGATCCTGCCAAATTGGAAATACTCCATGTTCAGGGTCAGCAATGGAATGTATGGTATAACTTTAGTGCAGAGAACCTCATCACCAGTAGTTTGTCACTTAAGAGACCAAGACTTTTTTAGCCACACAACTCATGAAGATGGTCTGCCATGGTGTTGGTAGTATTTTAGTACAACCATTTGATTGGTATGAAGGTATTGAGAAATATATCTACTACATAAAGTGAGACACACCTATGGAAGCTATCTGAGAAATTCAATATGCAAAGTCAGGTAAGGCACTTATGCTCTATGCCAAATAAAACACTTGAATAAAAAAAGAAAACCAACCAAACCAACCAACCAACCAACCAAACAAACAAAAAAAACCCAAACAACCCAAAAAACCTCTACAGAGTAAAATACACCATAAAAGACTAAGTTTATGTACATATATATATCTATAGGTACATATATGTGATAACATGCCTAAAAAAATGATTCTTTTTCATCATTTAAAAAATCCATGCTATTACTTCTACATCCTTAGCCTTTCTCAATTTATACTTTGAAATATATACATATACATGTATATATGTAATAAAATTAACTTTTTGTGTGGTGCTTAAGATTAACCTTATTAAATAGCAGGACAGTTAAAAGGAAAAAAAAAAAGCAAGGGATCATGGATGGGATCATAGATCTGAAGCTGAAAGATAGCTCAGGGGCCATTTAGTCAATCTCCTTATTTTATGGATGATGAAACTGAAGCCTTGGGAGGTTAAATGATTTGCCCAAGGTTCTACAAGTAGTTAAGTATCAGGTGTGGGATCTGAACCTAGGTCCAGTGACCACACAACCAGTAATCTTTTCATTAGAGTGTTATGAGATATTAGTTTTTATATGTTTGATATTAATCCTAAAATAAATGTGCATTGACCTCAAATTCAATAAAAAGACTTCTTTTTCTAAATTAGAATTAAAAATGGACGTGGGAAGATTAATTAAAAAAACCTATCAGTTTCAAAAGTAGTACGTAGGAGGGTTAAATCTGTTATAGCTTCTTTTTAAAAAAAAAATCCTTTCTTCTTATAAATCTGACACCATATGTCAAACTCTGGCTCAATTAATATTCTCTCCATAAAGTCATCCCTGATCAGTCCAAACCAGTGATCTCTCAATTCCATAAATACATAACACATATTACTTGTACCATTCATTTGATACTAAATTACATAGAAGCTTATGACATCACTTGAATTGTTATATTATCATTTATGTCTAGCATTAGTAGTTCTAAAAATATTTTATTTTTATTTTCAGTTCCAAGTTCTCTACTTCCCTTCACCCTTCCACTATCCATTGAGGTTAAAAAGAAATGATACTCATTATACATATGAAGTTATATAGAACATATTTCAATGTTAGCCATGTTCCCTCCCCCCCCAAAAAAAGAAAAAAGAAAAAAGAAAAAAGAAAAAAGCAAGGAAAATCAAGAAAAGAAATAAAAATGTTTCAATCTGCACTCAGACTATCAGCTTTCTTTCTGGAGGTGGATAGCAGTTTTCATTGTGAGTCCTTTGGAGTTGTGGTGGATCACTGCATTGATCAGAATTATCAAGTCTTTCGTAGTTGATTATCTTTCAACATTGCTGCTACCGTGTAGATTGTTCTCCTGGTTCTGCTTGCCTCACTTTGCATCAGTTCATGTAAATCTTCCCAGGTTTTTCTATCTCCATCATTTTTTACAGCACAATAGTATTCTACCATATTCATATACCATAACTTATTCAGCCATTCCCTAATTGTTGGGCATCCTCTCAATTTCCAACTCTTTGCCTCTGCAAAAAGATCTAGCTTTAGTATTTGGCTCTCTCCAACTAGACTTTATACTTTTTTTTTTGTGAGGCAATTGGGATTAAGTGACTTGCCCAGACTCACACAGCTAGGAAGTATTATGTATCTGAGGTTGGATTTGTACTCAAGTCCTCCTGACTCTAGGACCAGTACTCTATCCACTGTGCCACCTAGCTGCCCTAGACTTTATACTTCTTGAGGGCAGAATCTATGGTGCAAACTTCTTTGCATCATCCTTTAGGTTTACCATAATGCTGATATAGTTGGTACTTAATATCTGAATGAAAGTTAAATAGTGATTACCTTAATTTTCCCTTTTTGGCTTCTAGAATTGAAGGGTGCAGAAAATCTGCTAATTATTCCAACAGAGAAGATAAAGGAAGAGAAGAGGAAGAGATAAGTTTTCCTACTCCAGATAAAACTATAGAAGACTTCCCTTTGGGATTTATAACAACCACAGGATGGAAAATTGGAGTGGTTGTATATTATCCCATAAACAAATCAAAGAAGCAATGAAAATGTTTTTCCTTGGGACTATGTTATTCAACCAAACCTCAAGTATAACCTGATTCATTATTATTTTCTTAAGTTTTTTTTTGAGGCAAACCTTGAGAAAAACATAAACACTCTGATTAATAAATTTCAGTACATACCAGGAGGCATCATGCATTGTTCTTGGAACTGTTCCAAAGCACTCTTCAATCTTTCGGTATCTTGCAAAAGTACCAGAGTTTTCATCTGGTCCAAAAGTATAATATCTGAGGAAGCTATGTGATGAAATTCAAGATGTTTAAAAATCTCCTGGATAGTTTCCAAACAGACAGTTGAATCAGAAGATTTAAAATTACCTAAAGAAAACAAGGCAGGACCACTTAGAATTCTATTTAATGATAATGTAGTTTTTGTGATGTTTTTAACCTATGATAATTTTATATCACTCAAGAAGAACTTTATACGGAAATACTGTTGGTCAATGTTACAAAAGGAATGGTCATAATACTATCTGATATTTATGTATAATTTTATAGTGGTACTTTTATGTGTATCATTTCATTTGATTTTCATAATAATTCTCTAAAATGGACAGAGCAAAGTCAGCACCTGGAATCCAGGGCTTGATCCAAAATCTATTGACCATACCACATTGCCTCCCTGAAGTACAGTACTCCCATCAATGATTTGAAGGGCAGGGTATGCATGCATGCATGCATGCATTCATGCATGCACACATTTATTTACACTATAAATAGGCAACTGAATAAGAACAAAAATCTATATTGACTTTTACTACATAGGCAAGTTTATTATACTGAATGGAGTTATTAATGGGTATATGCAAGTGTCTTCCCAACTGTAGTACATTGTATTTGAAAAACATGAGCAAAGCTAGGGAGAAATGAGAGATAAATCAAAGATAAAAGGCATTTCCATGTTTGTGAAATGTGTCAAAAACAAAGAACAAGTTAGTAGACTCAAAAAACAAAGCAACAACTGCTGACAGTGGAGCTACTGTAAAATTTTTTGTATGCTTTTAATTGTAAATGATTTAAAAGTGGTTCCATCACAAATGATTATTTTTAAAAAATCAGGACTCAAAAGAAAAAAAAATTACATAAGTAGAATTCAACCTCACTTTATATAAAATAAAGATTGGTTCAAAAAATAAAATAATCACTGAGATTTTTGTACTGGCTTTTAAAATGTAGCATTCCAGGATCTATGCAACTGAAAAACTAGCTGTATAAAGGAAAGGTGGAACAAGACTCTTTTGAGTACAGTCAAACAAGCTATGAATTCACCTAACTACACTATCATCTAACCCTCATTTTTCCATCTTGTCCACAAAACTTTTATGACTTTTCATATCAAATACTTGAATGAAATCAAGATGTACTATCTATGGGATTCCTCTGATTTGCTAGTAACTAATCCTAACTAGAAAGGAAATTAGGTTAATTGTTCCTTGTGAATTTATATGGATTGGCCTAGATTTCTGTTAAGATCCTTTTCTGCTCTAGACCTATAATCTTATGAAGAAGTGAGTCAAGATGGCCGAGACGGGAGGAAGGAAGGCCAGGAAATTCAGGTGAGAGCTCAGAATTGGCTATGTATGCATTTCAGAGCTAACTACACAAAACTGATAATTGAAGCCACAATAGTGAATGAGATTGGAGGGGAAAACACACACACACACACAGAGGAAGAGAGGAGAGGGCCCAGGACATAGCTTTTGGGGGGCCCAATCTTAAGAACAAGAAGAAGAAGATGAATCAGTGAAGGAATTTAAGCAGCGCTTAGATAGGAGAAACAAGAGAGAGCAAGTCATGGAAACTGAGAAAGGAGTCTATTAAGAGGGAGTAAGCAGTAGATGGTAGCAAATGCTACAGAAAGATGAGGGAGGGAAAGCACTGAGAAAAGGCTTTAAGATTTAGTAAGGAAAAGTTATTTGCTAAATCCAATGCTCAAGAGACCTGAATATGTTTGTTGTCAGAGAGTAGGAAAGGAAATGGAGGTTATAAATAGTTACAACAATAGCTGTCTTTCCACAGAATAAGAAGAATATCCTTTTTTATGCAAACAACATATTCTATACCTTGTACATCTAAATACTGCACTCCTAGGTAATCACTAGGCAGGTAACTTGCTTCAGTGGTAATCCATATAATGATCCTTGGGACATTCAATCTTCATTTTATCCTATAAATCCACAATAACTCCCATCTGTCACTGGTCACCACATAATCCTAAAATGATTCCCTAGTTTCTTGGATTTCCTCACTCCTGATTTGATTAGATAAGAAAAGTCTGTTATCAGGGTTGTCTTTAATTACTAACATGGAAGCATCTGTAGTACATCTCATCATCCTATAAGATCCCATCAGCCTTGGTACTCCACCTAATCACTACCCTCTGTTACTGGAGACATGAACTCCAAAACCTCTATTTAAGTAGGTAACTAACTCAAACATCTCATTTCTCACTTGGCTGCACTACTCTGGGATAACTCTGAGATATCTCTGACTTCACTATGTCCCTGTATTAGGGGGTACCTTTCCCCTACCCTGCTTTCAGCTTCATTTTGTGTGTTCTCATCCATCCCCTATTAGATTGTAAACCCTTTGAGGGCTGGAACTGTCATACCTTCTTTGTATCCCCATAACTTAGCACAGTAGGTGCTTAATAGTGGGTGGCTTAGTAGTAGGTGTTTAATAAATGTTTATTGACTAACTGTCTAAGTTGACTAGGAAGGGTATCACCTGGAATAGTGAATGTAGGAATACATGAGAAACCATGATCCTATGCTGGTGAGATTATTTCATAGTTGGCACACTACTAAGTCAAAGTCTGTCTCCAGGGAGACACTTTAGAAGGGACAGTCGTGTCCATTTCCTGGATCCTAGAAATAGACCTCCTTTTAGATGCAAAGGACAGTATAGTTGGCATCACCCAGTTTCTTTATCACATCACAAGAATTTTCCCTATGAAGTACTGAGCTGTACATAATCTTGTATTCTGGTTTATGATTTCTTGATGCTTGTCCTAGTTCTTCTATTCCCTGTCCTATCTATCTTGATCTGGTTCTCTGGGCATGATTCAGTGTTTACTTTGGTCAATTAGTCTCTACTCCTGTTTGGTCCCTCATCTTTGGAATTTCTTGAATATCAGTCACTGGGTATCTTTTCACTAATGGTCCAGTTGAGCACTTGCTATACCTTCTGGCCATTAAATCTTCTTCTCCAATCAAAAATAAGAGAGTATTTGACAAAAAATCCCTTCCAACTCAATGAGTCTGTGGTAGAGGGGGTAAATTTATTCTGTGTTGTTTCAGAAGATAGAAGTTAAAGGGAGATAAATTTTTATCATGGTTTAAGGAACAGTGTTCTAACAATTAAGGTATCCAAAAATGGTTTCTGCCAGGTAATCAATGATTGCCAAAGTAACACTTAAATTCACTGTACTAAAGCATTTAATGGTATTCTAAGTTGCCTTTATTTAAAAAAAAAAAAGTTTTTGCTGAATTCATTGAGAACTAGAGAATTTTTTTTTGCAATATGAAGTTACACTATATCTAATTTATAAGTTTTTATTTTCATATACTTAGAGTTTTTAAAGCAAGTTAAATTTTAAAAAACAATAATTGATACACTATATACTATAGTTTGTTGAGGGAGACAACAACAAAAAAATGTATCTGTGAAATGTGTTGGTGTTAAGGGGAGGGAGACTTATGCCTATGGAAACTGAACTATCACCAGTAACTATAGAATCTGAGAAATATGTATGTATATCATTTCTCAACAGAGTCAGAACTAGTCACCTAAGAAGAGATGAAGTTCCCTCTATTCCAGGTTGCTGCCTCAAAAAGGAGCTTGGCTATTCCCAGGCATATGATTGCAGCCATTAGCTGAGAAAAAGATGTAGAACTTCAGGCACACGTGCCTTTTAGAACTGGCATGTGGTGGAAAGTTAGTTTTCAAGCACATATCTGGACCACCATGGACTAGCCATATCCCACTGCTGAGATATTCTCCTTTTTTTGGTGGTTTGCCAAGGAAATGCAACCATTTTAGACAACTGCATCTCACTAGGAAATGAGGAGAAAGTATGCAGCTGCTAGAAATGTGGAGGAGTGACAAGGCAAGGCCATTTTATTTCTAAGCTTATTTTAAGATTTTTTTTATAGCTCAATCTAACAAATATTCTCTTATCAATTCTTGTAACATTTCTGGGAAGAACTGGAAAGAGGGCAGTAGTGAAGCAGTTACCTTCATTTACAGTGAAAGAATGTTGGCTTTGGAGCCTTAGGTTTGAATGCCAGCTCTGTGCTATCTGTGTTAGCTCAAGTGTGACACTTGACCTTTCTTGGCCTCAAGTTTCCTCATCATCTGATGTCTATCATAAGCTTCTATATAGTTAGTACATGTTGTGATAGCATAAAGCCACTATAGGATGGGGAAGCTAAATTAATTTTTAAATGAAGAAAATACTAAAAGAAAATTCAGAAAAATCTCCCAGTGTAACTTGAGTATTCTACCACACAGTTTGTCTATAATATACTTAGAGAATGAGGGTGTCTTTCTAATTCAACCTTGTTACCAGTCCAGCAAGCATTTCTACATCTCTGACTATCCAAATCTTGATTCAATACTTCCACTTCTGGGGTGCACATGATGAAGTGAATTCCTCCATCTTCCTTCTACTTCATCTGTTATGCCTACTTCCTCCTTTGTGTAATCTACTACAGTGACAATATCCCTTCCATTTTTGTTGTTGATCTTCACCAGATGTTCTTCATGTATGTCTTCTTAATATATAGTGTCACCAATACTTCCTCCTCACCCACTTAACTTATTCTGTTCCTTCTGAATAAGACTTATTTTTCCAAAGACTTCATAACAGAACACACTGCTTTAAGAACAGACCAACTCAGACCATAAGCAGAAGACATATTACAGAGTTACTAACTATGGGAAAACATTCTGTCTACCCAGGAGCAAGTAATGGTTAAAAAAAGATAAGGTCTATTACTACCTCACCAGCTAACCAACAGTTTCGACACTCCACACCAAAGACAGTACAGTAAGATCCTAGAAAGTTATCTTTGCTACTCTGTGTTGTTATTCTAAGAAATATATTCCTTAAAGTTGTAGTTTTGACTTCTGTTTTGCTTAGCTATCCACATTTATGCATGTATATGAATCTCATATTCTCTATTCACTTCCCTTCTTTGAGTGTATTCTTTGGTTATGTCTTTAGAAGTTGATTTAACAATGACAAATTTTGAGTACCTTTCGAAAAATAGTTATCTGATTGAGTAATTACTCATTTTTAACGAATAATTATTTGCATATTTGTCTCTCAGTTTATTTCCCAGATGTGATCATTTACATTTTAATTTTGCTCAATTAATAAATTTAGACTCCTATTTTCAATGAAGGACACATGTGAATTGTTGGGAAAAATATGCCAAGTCATACTAGTGCCAAAGACAAAAAAATTCAGTTTGTCAATCAACCTTAGGCATTATTCTCAGTTTTGTGAGATATACAAGCTTGATAAACATGCCTTCTATGCCTTTATTCAAGATAATGATAAAAATACTGAATTGGGATGAGTCATAGGGTACTCCCTCCAGAATAACAATTATTCATTGATAAACACTGAGTACAGTTGTTTAAATAGTTAAATCCATCTAAAGACTATCATTTAGTCTCCGAATTTCCATTTTGTCCACAATGATATCACGAGAGACTGACAAGACTGATCCTGGTCAACATATACCATATGAATAGCATACCCGCAGTCTCATAACTATCAAAAAAAGAAATGCAATTAATCTGGCATATCTTTCTCTCTAGTAAACCCATATTGGCTCTTACTGATCACCTTTTTTTTTTAAATCAGCAAGGTCAGGGATTTAAAAACCTACACAAATGTAAGGCATTATCATTAGTATTAATAAATAGAAATAATTTCACTATCATATATTAGACACTCCTATAAGCAAGTGTTCAATAAAGGCATGCTAAAAATTATTAAGTTAGTAGAGAAGAGAAAGGAACAAACTATTAATACTTTTACTTATAATGAACTTAGGAAAATAAAGTTGTAAAATTTTCCAAATTTTCTTATCTGTATTTATTTTACATAGAAGCATAGTTAATGCTGACTACCTATCTTAAAATGGAACTATTAATTTGTTTTGTACACATCATCCTTCTTAAGAACTTTGCTGAGGCTGACTGCAATTAGGTATACCATTAGGTGTATCTTCAGCCAGCAGCCAAGGTACAGATATATTTATTTGGAAAAATTAAAACATCCTAAATTTGTCTCTGTACTATTTATTTATTTTGAATATTGTATGGAGAAACATATGAATGACTGCCTATTTTCCAAATTCGAAACTAGTATCATTATTCTAAAGATGAAATAGGAAAGAACATACTGTCAGAGAAATAAATTTCTTGTGTTGCCTGCAAGAAGTCTAGGATGCCATCTGCCTTTTCATTGGTGTCTTTAGAATCTTCTCCTTCACTGCTGCTCTCAGGCTGGTATGTAAAACTAATGCCAGTGGCTTTTGTTAGTAGGCCAGCTGCTCTCTTCCTTTCCTTTTGCTGTTTCTTTTTCAGTTTCCTTTTTTTATTTTTGCTTATTTGTGGACCATCTGTATGCTGTGGCTGTAATTTTTCTTGTAAATGACTCTCATTCTTCTCAAATTTTGTTTGTTCTACATGGACATTATAGGGATTTTGCAAAGTATTCTTTGGTTTCTGTTTTCTTCTTCTTCTTCTTCTCTTTGGTGTCTCTTGAGGATTCTCTTCTGTAAAAGCATTAAAATGAAACAGTAATCAGTATAACAAGATTGTAGCAAACATCTTGGTCCACATTAATTTAAATAATCTAATCTGGTTTCATATCCAATACTTGGAGGTAGTATAGTATAATGGATAAACATCCTAAGAGTCAGCCTAAGACAACCTAAGAAGACCTGGGTTCAAATTTTTCTTCTGACTCAAACTAGCTGTATAATTCTTTTTTTTTTTTCCCCAGCCAAGGCAAGGTACTCTTTAGTCTAGGAGTTCCAAGGAAGAGCCTTGTTGTTGTTGTGGCAAAGTGGATAGAGTGTCAAGCCTGAACTCAGGAAGACTAATCTTCCTGAGTTCAAATCTGGCCTAAGACACTTACTAGCTGTGTAACCCTGGGCAAATCACTTTGCCCTGTTTGCCTTTGTTTCCTCATCTACAAAATGATCTGGAGAAGGTAATGGCAAATCACTCCAATATCTTTGCCAAGAAAACCCCAAAATGGTGTTACAAAGAGTTAGATATGATTAAAACGAAACAACAAATGATGCTACACATAAGTGAGTGCCTCAATGAATACTTGATCTTATTATGGGCAATACTCTCTCTACCAATGAAGATGTTTACCCAGCCATGCCTTCTAAACTTATATTATTCTTATCCATGTTGTCTCATAAATTCTCCATAGCTTATCTACCTAATACGCAGGAGGTACCTTACTGTCATTCTTTGAACATTTTGTGGACCTGAATGCTGCATAAAAATTCCATGTGTTATCCTCTTAACTACATGATAAGGCTTTCTTTTGCTGGTCATACATAACTTAAGTGTCCTTTTTTCCCCCCCACATTAGTCATATTGTAAAGAAGAATCAGAACCAATGAGAAGAACCACGAGAAAGAAGAAACAAAACAAAACAACAAAAAAAGATCGCAAATAGTATGCTTCCATCTACATTCATACTCCAAAGTTTTTTCTCTGGATGTGGATAGCATTTTCCATCATGAGTCCTTTGGAGTTGTCTTATATCCTTGCATTGCTGAGAAGAGTTAAGTTTATCAAAGTTATTGCATAATGTGGCTGTTACTGTTTATAATGTTCTACTGGTTCTGCTAACTTCACTAAGCATCAGTTCATATAAGTCTTTTCAGGTTTTTCTGAAGTCTGCCTGCTCATCATTTCTTATAGCACAATAGTATTCCATTACATTCATATACCACAACTTGTTCTAGCTGTATGATTCTTAATTCTAGTACCTTCCCTTTTAAAATTATTTCCTATTTATCCTATTTATAGCCTATTTGTTTGCTTGTTATCTCCAGCATTAGATCATGAGTTTCTTGAGGGAAGGAGATGTTTTTTGCTTCTTTTTGTATTGCACTTAGCACAGATACTGGTACATAGGAGTTGCTTAATATATGTTTATTGACTGACTCTGGGCAAGTCACAATTAGTGTTCCAGACAACTCCCTAAGACTCTTAAGTTGTAGAACAAGGACCAATCTGCATTAATAGAGGGAATTTCCTCATTTGTTGCTCCCTATACCAATTAAATTACAGGTTTGACCATGAATAACAACAAATCAAATAACAAACTATAGATAGAAAATAACAAAAAGGCTTAAAATACTGGAGGAAAAAAAGCATTTCATCAGTACTGTGTTAAATGGAAGTTCTCACTTTCTCTAGCTTTGCCTGCCCTTTGTATCAATCATCTTCTTTTTTGGTCCAAACTATTCCCCAAAGGGCCATTTCATAAAATTACCTTGTAGTACATAATTTGTTTCAAAATAAGCATTTTATGTATTTGATTCATTGTTGGGTTTTCAATATTACACTCTCAAATGCTGTTCGAACTCAGGGATTCTCAAAGTCTAGCTTAGAATTTACTGATGGTGGATAAGAGTCTCTCTAGGGGGTTCATGGACTAATCTCTTAAAGTAGTAATGCTATAAACATGATGGTGTCTATGCTTTTTTCTAGCATAAGTGACTTACTTTAGGATAATTAGCTTGATAAAGAACAACCAAAAATATCACATACTAGACAACTATCTTACTGGCAACTATTTAAAAGTAGGGCCACTGATCTTGCATTTTGGCACTAAATAAGCTCAAATGGATCTCATTACTATGGGAATTCCAATGCTGCAGGCAACTTGTCTATGCTTGCCCAGCCTGTGAGGCACTTTTCCACATGTTTCTCTGAGTTTTCAACAGATAATTCATCCAATGTGATGAGTTCCCTCCCTCATTTCTCTTGGCATCATAAAGATATCAATGCAATTAATTAGCTATCCTTCAGTCTCACCCTGTGACAAGCCCACCTTTTTGTCTCAAACATTTCACTGATGACATCTTTTACTATTCTGCTTCTCCTTTGTAATCCCTGGTTTGTAATATGATGCAGTTTATACATGTCTACCTTCACTTCTCCATTGCAGGGTGGATAGTAATGAATTTCAGTTCCTTAAGGATTGTACTATTTCATAACTTGTAGTCATATAATCACACCAGAAGAATTATGGCATTAAAAAAATGTTCCTTTTGCTTCATGGAAAAGCCAGAGGCCTTAAATGAACTTTATACTTTCTACAAATTATTTTTTTTTCAATTTTTACAAACTATTCAATTCTGGATCGTACTCATTGATCACTTTTAGTATCTGTCCAAGATATGGTTGTCCATCTAAACAGATACTGTAATCTGAAAAAAAAAAGACTTTTTTAAAAAATCTACTTGGTTATAGAATCCTAAAAGAAAGGCTACAAGTTTATGACATAGGGAGACTAATTGAAGGAAATAAGAGGCTTAGCTTGGAGAAGAGTTACATTATAGCTTTATTTAATTTAACATAATATTTGTAAAGTGCTTAGCACTTAGTAGGTTAGTAGGTGCTATATAAATGTTTACTATCATTATTATTATTAGTGTTATAGTCTTTAATTATTTGAAAGACTATGACATGGAAAAAAGACTTGTCCTGTTTGGACTCTGAGGGAAGAACTAGGAGCAGTTAGTGGAATTTGTAGAGACAAATTTTGGCTTGCTATCCAGAAAAACTTCCTAACTATCCCAAGAAGGAATGGGCTGACCATTTGTTGGCTATGCCATAGTGGGAATTCTTTACTGGTTATGGACTGGATTATATAGTTACCAAGTTCCCTTCAAACCTTAAATTTCTATTATTCTGTGATACTCAGAGACTAGAACTGAAAAAAAGAAAAAGATTGGGCTGGACTGCATTGCAGAAACTGTACAGCACTTTCAACAATTATGAACAATTTTGACATAACACCCTACATTTTTTGCACCAGTCTTTTGATGATGCTAATATGATTGCAAAACAGAATGCTATCATCTCTGAATCAAATTTGTGTGAGACACAAAGAGCTATGGAGATATGCATGCTAGAAATAAATAGACTGCAATATTATTTTCAATGATAGTTTATGTGTAAGAAATGGCTTAAAGGATATCATCTAGGAAATGTATGATTGGGAAATGAGGTAGACTGGTCATATGGGAAAATCAAGGTAGACAAATGGACAGCATCAATACTAAAAGTATGAGTATCCATAGCATACTAAAAGACTTAGTGAACCGATCTTCAGTGGATTAGATATGTTGTACAAACTTTGATAAAAAACATATATGGGAATTAAACAGGAGGGGAAGGTATGAGTGCACTGTATTCTGCACCAGAGATAGAATTTATATTAATGGATCAAAAATTTACTGACAATGAAATACAGTGAAAAATAAACTTTTAAGAGAAAAAAAGGCAAGGATTAGATTAACTGTAAGAAGGACTGAAATACTCTTCCAAACTTGTCATTCTCTAACTAAGTTTAGGTGTGGGGCTATCAACTCTTCAGCTTCAGGTAAATTCTATTATAAACTGCAAAGGTCATATTTTCTATAATTACTCAGAACTCTTTTTAGTCAGATATTTCAATTTCTCTTTACTGATATTTTCATTACATTGTTCAGATTTTTATCAACCTAAAATATATATACTAAATAATGATAATCACTGAAATTGGGGTAGTACCAAATAGGTAGTTCACTTCCACTCAGTTAAACTTAGAAACTTAGAAAGGGTTGGTTGTGCACATTTGTACAATGACGATATTTTTTTTTTAAAATTAGTATTTAAGCTAATATTTATTTTTTCCTGTTATTTTTAAAAATTTTATTTTTTCTCAATTACATGTAATTTTTTTGGGGGGCGAGGCAATTGGAATTAAGTGACTTGCCCAGGGTCACAGAGCTAGTAAGTGTCCAGTGTCTGGTCTGAGACTGAATTTGAACTCAGGCCCTCCTGACTTCAGGACTGGTGCTCTATCTACCACACCACCTAGCTGCCTCAATGTAAATTTTTTTTAATATTCTTTTTAAAAATTGTTGAGTTTCAAATTCTCTCCCTCCCTTCACAACTCCTTGAGAAAGCAAACAATTGGATATAAATTATACATGTGCAGTCATGCAAAATATTTCCATATTAGCCATATTATAAAAGAAAATGCAGAGGGGAAAAATGAAGAAAGCTTAAAAACTATGTTTCAATTTTCATTCAGACTCCATCAGTTCTTTCCTTGTAAATGGATGGCATTTTTCATCCTAAGTTCTTGGGAATTGTCTTGCATCACTGTATTGCTGAGAATAGCTAAGTCATTCACAGTTGATCATCCTACAATATTTCTGTTAGTGTGTACAATGTTCTCCTGGTTCTGCTCACTCCACTTCACATAAGTTTGTGTAAGTCTTTCCAGGTTTTTCTGACAGCATCTTAGAGCTCATCATTTCTTACAGCACAATAATATTCCATCAATAGCACAATAAAATTCCATCAGGACCATATACTACAACTTGTTCAGCCACTCCCCAATTGATGGGCATCCCTTCAATTTCTAATTCTTTGCCATCACAAAAAAAGTTGCTATAAATATTAGGTCCTTCTCCCTTTTCTTTGATTTCTTTGGGATACAATCCTAATAGTGGTATTGCTGGGTCAA